ACAAGTGTACCAGACGATGAAGTTTCCCAAAAGCTTACAAACTGTATCAACACTCTATCTAACTACAAGCAATTTTTAGACGCAAATACTCCAAAAATAAAGGAAGGAAGTGTGACTCACTCCAAATACAATTTATCGACGATATCAAATAAGACATCATGTTGTGGTGGGGATATACCACCGCCCTGCTGTGGCGTGGGCTCAATACAGATTAACAGCACCAAATGTGGTAAGTTGTCAACGACCTCTAACCGACACAGCGGTCAAACGTGAGGTATGCGCAAATGAATTAGTTTTGGTAGGCCGCGCGCCAAGTTCCCGCGCAAAATTGTAAAGGAAATTGCATAGAAACCGTTTCTAAGCAAAATTCACAGAAATGAATTAAAATGTTTACAGAAAGCTGAAAAAGCAAATAGACGTAGGGAAAAGAAAAACTTTAATATAAAATTTTACTTGAGTACGGGTATTCTATTGATTTACCATTTGTTTTAGGCCCTATCGAAAACGTCTTTCCCTTTATAAAACGTCGTGAGTTACTGGTTCGTGAGTTTGAAAAGCCTAAAGCACCATTTCAGGCACACCTGTAAGACACTGATAGTTTCGATTGCCGTACATGCGTAGACGTTTGACTACTTTATTTCTTTGACCAAACCTCTTACCATCCGCTGTCTAGAAATAAGCCTGCGCTCCTTCCCCCCTCCCCCCTCCTACCCCTCTCACCAAAGAGGTCTTCCCGGGGAATCGACGACGAGACTCGAGAAAACGACCTCCAACCGTCAGCTTTAGAAAAAATCAAACAAACCTGTACATATTGGGTTTTTTTTTCTTTAAGTTTTTCGTAATTAATATCTTCAATCTTCCGGCTCATGACAGCGGTCAACGCGTGGTATCAATTTGTGATAGAGTGGGCTTATTTCGAATCTAAGCCGAGATTTTTTGTTTTGTATTGTTTTTATTTTTCTTTCTTTCTTTGTATAGGATGCCTGCCTGGTTTTAAATTCGTTCCCGGTAGTTTATGTGTCCGTTGTCCGTCTGACACTTATCAGAACAAGCAAGGTCAAAGGTCATGCAAAAAGTGTCCAGGAAGGAAACAGACATTTGGAAAAACAGGAATAACAAGTGAATCCAATTGCTCAGGTATGATATTGAACAAAAAAAGTTCAATATTAAGGGCTCATTTTCTAGTTCTTTCCTTTTTGTGTTTTTGTTTAAGTCAGCGTCATATATTGTATTAAGTTATTTTCTCTTCAACAGACACAAATCCATTACAGCTTAGTGACCAAGTCGTTTACCTACCTTATGACATCGAATCTGAAACTCTTGTCACGAATGTTACTGTCACGGGGCGCTTGGAGTCTTTGGTTCAACCGTTGTTGTTTTACATGGAGGATGTCACACAACAACAGCTGTCACGCAGAGAGTCAAAGCGGAAACGGCGTGACATTGACGACTTTTGTGAAGGTGCCGGAACCATTGGGCCATTGAGTTATTTCTGTGTTCACCGTCTGACTGGGGGAATAGAAGTCACGGACGAGTTTAAATTTGAAAATGGCGACGAGTTTGAAATAAAAATTCGCGTCACAGACAGCGATCAGTGGGGAAAAACTGAAAACACTGCCAGTATCAAATTCATTTCACGCGATAATTGTAAAGAAATTCGAGCTCTTTATGATGATGCCACCAGGGAATGTCCAAAGAATGTTTCTTCACCCAAGGGACGGGATTCTTGCCCAAGTGAAAAGTGCTTACTGCCTTTATTCGACTTGCTAAACCGGCTGAACTCAAGTGAGATATTACAAATGGAATGTTCTTCTGATCCTCATGATCTAGCAAATGTGGCAAGGATATACTCGCAGTGTATTGGTAAGTCAAGCCTTTTTCGGTATGAATAAGATACCACCGTGTGTTTTCGTTACGTGATTGGATTGTAATATTATGTATGGATTTGATTCTTACTCTCGCTCTTTTTTGTTAGTTTATCATTTTATGCTCATATTCCTTTTATGCTCACAGGTCCACCAATTATTAGCTTGTCCCCAAACCCTCAGACTGTGAAGAGAGGCGCTGAAGTCATTTTAAAGTGTAACGCTTCCAGTCCTTTGCCTTTGAGCGTCACGTGGTTTAAGAACGGAATGCCAGTTGGACAATCGAGTAGCCATCTAAAGATTGACAGTTTTGATAATGACGATCAGGGTGACTATTTCTGCCGCTTCTCGACGTATTTGACAAGCAGTTCCACTGCACCGGCTTTGGTTACTATGGAAGGTGAGTTTCCTCTCACATTTACGTCACTTAAACATTCAGTTTGGTAATGGTAGTGGAGTAGAGCTTGCCTTTGTGATGACGTCTTGTAGGACAGTAATGACGTAGTAGTCAGCGTCGAGGCTCACGAAAAGACAAAGACGATGATTACAACCATCAAAACGACGGTAACGAACATTTACAATTACACCGAAGATGACCGATGGTGATGATAAAAACGATGACGATGACGACGGTGACACCGAAATGTTACGATAACTATGATAATTATGACGAAGATAAGGAAATCGAACGGTGTCGATGAGAGCGACAATGATAACGACATGGAGCCACAACGATAACGACGACAGTGACGACGATAACGAGCAATGACGATGAAGAAACCGACTTCTGACATCGGCAACGACGATAACGAAAATTAACGATGATTACAGCGACAGTAGAGTCGGTGACGATGAGAAAGATAATAGAGAACTTTTAGAGACGTTTTTGAGACCTAGAGGGGTGGAGCCGCCAGGTGGAAAAATGCAACTGCCCTTGGCGGGGTTTTACATCAACCAACCAACTGGAGAGCTCTTCTTAGAACATCGTAGAATAAACGCCTCAGACAGAAGAACTGAAGCAAGCGACAAGGAAAAGAAGCGCTTCAGCATCACAATTTTCTTGGTTGTATCGAAGTTGTGATGATTTAAATGGGTTATAACCCAAGCGTGAGGGCAAGATGGCTGGATTTTGGCCGAGTTCTTTTTCCGAATTTTTCTGAACCTGGACGAAGTCAGAGGTCCACAAAAATACGAAAAAGGAACGAGGCTAATATCCAGCTATCTTGACCAAACAAGCTTGGTTAATATAGGATTCATTTTATAGCAAAAAGATTTCGCTCTATTAAGAATTAAGAATAACTCGTCTACTTCGAGAGCCGGGAAAGAAAGCCAACCGTGTTTGTAGCATTACAACCACACGAGAGTCGCTTCTGTTTTCTTTGTTTTGACTATCTTCTGCCGCTTTTTGCGTTTCGATCGCCGAAATTGTCCAATATTTACGAACTTAGTTCTAATTCTATTGTTTTTGTTTTGTTTTTTTTTGTTTTTTTTTGTCATGCGCGCGATCAATGCGGGCAATCCCGAGTGAGCAAGATGGGCCCATCTTGCCCGCTCGGGTAGCCAATCAGAACAAAAGATTCGCTTCATCTTGCCCACAGATGCTGCGTACGATGTAATAATAGTAGTTATTTAATTTCGATGATGTTAATGGTAACGACATTTCTGATGCCTGTGATGATAAACTGTAACGCTTGTGTTATCGTGGTTTTTTTTTTTTTCTGGAAGGTGATAACTTTTTTTCTTTTCTTTTTTTTTTTTTTATTTGTACTTTTTTTCCCAGATACTTTTACATCAAGAGTTTCATTTCGAATCGTGAATAAAAATTTCAAGAATGACTTACAGGATCCGAGAAGCTCGAGCTATTCAGACATGCAGATTGCAATTGAAAGAAACGTAAGTTGATAAAACGTAATCGGAAGAGTACCTTTGCTCTAGATTATTTAAATCTGAGGGCAGGCTTTAATAAGAGATTTAATCTCCATGTGGGGAATTTCTTGGTCTCAGATATTTCTGACTAAGACATCTTAATTTTAAATCGGGATGGTTTGAAAAAAGAAAGAAACGATGCAGGAATTTAGTCTTGTTTGCAGCCGTTGTTTGTTCTTGTGGCGCAATGTAGAATTCACCGCAAAGGCAGGAAACAGGAAGGGACTTAAATATCGAGGACTTAACTGAAGGTTTTAGTCAGTAAGTTTTTATTGAAAGGTTTTATTAGTCCTAGTTTTTATTCTGATTTTAACAGCTTAGTTATTTAATTAATTAGTTAATCTTAATCGTGTTTTGGATATTTCTACATCGGACATATATTGGATAGCGATAGATATAAATTTTTAAAAGAGTAAAGATTAAAGGTTTTCCTTGCCTGGTCTTACTTATTTCATTCCTCTTTTGTACACGTCATTTATTTATTTATTTATTTTGGCTCGTTCTTTCTCTGTTCTAGCTGGACAACTACCTCGATAGTGGAAACCCTGCGTGGAAATATAAAGTCAAACTTGTGAAATTCAGGTGAGGCTGTTTTTTTCCTCTTACTTGAACTAACTTATGTTTCATTGTTCAAATTTCTCCTTGGGTTTAGATATATTTAAAATTTCCTTTGTCACAAATTATGATAATGAGTACAACAATAAGGAAATAAATAATTTAAACTATAACTATGTGTTGTCATTAGACTAGCTGAGATATAGGCAAATCCCCAAAACTGACACTATGGAAAATGTCCACCAGTAGGAAGGGAGAATTTGCAATCAGATCTCAAGGAAGCTGCATCGAGGCTTTGAATCTTTTGCTAGTGGTTAGGACGTTTGATATCCTGTAAATTTTCTCTGGTCACTCGCGCCCAAGCTCAACTGTTTTCTCTATGTTTTATTTCTGTTCTACGGATGTTTGTCTCTTCAAAAAATTATCAATTTTGACCCTCCATTCTGTAATAAGAACAACTTCTTTCACTTCTTCAAAAGTGACAGGCTGTTCTCTTTCAACGTACAGGGACTCGTTTAAGAAAGTGGGGGTGGACCTGGTGATTTACAGCCCAGCCAAGAATGAAGATATCGCTCCTTACTACAACAGACTTCAGTCGTTGCTGACTGATGAGAGTGCTATGGGTAACATACTGAAACCCTTGAAGGTCTCACGTAACAGCGTTACCATAAGGAGTGCAAGTAAGTAATGCGTGACAATAAAGACTGCCAATACGTTCGAATAACTATTGCGTGGCTAAAAAGAGTGTAAGTGAGTATTAGGCGATTGACCCAGCGTTACCACCCTTTACTTGAAACTGTAAGAATCTTAGAAGGCAAGTTGTTGCTGCTATAAAAGACAGGATAATTTTAGTCGTTTCCTTCAGTTTCTATTGGATGTTTACTATTAATCGGTGTGCAAACTTTTTCGGTGTTACATCCACTATTCGCTGGCCACAACATAATCTGAAAATCTCTAGAAACAATGATACCATACTAATAAAGTGTGAATTCCTTTATTTCACAGCTCATTGCCTGCCGAAAGAAACCGGCAAAAAATCAGTTAGGGGGATATTTGAGTGGCAGTTAACTGTGATTGGTGGAACGTCGTCCCGTGTAAAATGCCCGTATGGTCCGCCCGAGGCCAATGCCACGCGCTCATGTGGCGGGAATTTTTTGACTGGTGGTGTGTGGAAGAGCCCGGATGTGAGCCTTTGCAAATATAAGTCTGCCAGAACAAATAAACTTAACGATATCGCAAAGGTAGGTCACTTACTTAATTCATCTGTCGCGTTATTCTAACTTCGAAATAAAATGAATGCTATCTTTAAAACTCGTTCTGTGGACCGTGCTAGAGTGTTCAGATAGAGAAATTCGCCCCCTCCCCCTCGCCTACCAACATGCTGCTCGCAAAAAAAATTAACACGTCGATTAAATTGGTAACCTTTCCTTCTCTTACAAAGACATCTTTGCTTTCAGTCATTTGAAGAATTGTGCACCATCGTCAAAACACCATTGTTTTAGAGTAAGAAAGTCTGTGAATAAACTATTCTTAATGTTGTCCGATATCCCCAGACAAAAGTCGACAAACAGAACGTTGCCAAGGTAACTAAAGAAGTGAAAGTTTTAACGTCAGAGCCAGACGACATGAACGAAGCCGACGCGGTGCTCATCGCTGACGTCATAGATAGCATTGTGTTACTGGATGATTCACTAAATGAGGTAAAAAACACGATCAGAAGATATTCTCCAAAGTCAGACAGAACCGTCCGATATAGGACGCTTCCATCCGATAAAATGTCGGCAACGTCCACACTGGGGCGGTACTACTATACCTGATGAATTCCTTCTCTGTATATCTTTTCACCATTTCACTCTAACATTGATATTCATACATTTTTCGCGTTGTTCTTTGACTACGAGTAGTCTCTCTTTTCGGAAAATTCCGTCGCGCGAGTCAAAAAAAAACTCAGTGAAAATAAGTTGCTGTTAGCGCACCGCGGGGAACTCTGGGAGAGAAACCGATGCGCCACAGAAGCCCCATGAGTAAGGCGCTTGAAAAGTCCTACTATCCAATATATCTAAGGACAAATCATTAGTATTTCAAGTGAAGTACTTTGTAAGGATTTTATATTTTTCTTTTTAAGACCGCCCAGGACGTGGTCGAAGTTATCGACAATGTGATGAAAATGAAAAAGAAAGATTTACAAGAGAGTCAACGAACCAGTAAAGCTTCCGCCAAGTAGGTTCATCCTTTAGACGTTTGAAGATCGGACTCACAGTTTGGGTGTTTTACTGTTGGGAAAGTTTGGTTGGCGGATGGTGGTAACCACGCCAAGAAAACCTATTCAGTCCGCACACCCCAAACAATTTTCCCTACTTCCATTTTCCCTTTCTTAGTACTTTCCTAAAACCAACGGAATCGCATATTTGTACTCAATTTGAAATATTTAAGATTTACGTTTCTATAGATGTCGCTTTTCTTAGTTTAGCTCTAATTGAAAAAAGGAAAACAACAACAGCAACAAAACAAAATTCCGTATTTTTGATATCAAAGTTTATATATCTCCCCCCCCCTCCATCAAAAAAAATATTGGATCCGCCCCCTTTACTTTCCTTGTTTTCTTGAGGTTGACTTTCTCTTCTTTTTCTTCCTCTTTGTCAATTATGTAAGGTTCATTCGAGCGTTGGACAAAGTGGCCAGAAATCTTCCTCTCTCAGAAGGCAAAAACTCCCGGCGTCTTATCGCTCCAAGTGTTGCCATCCAATCAAATCGTGTGGACCCAAGCTCTTTTACAGGCATGTCTCTAGCTGTCAAACCACCCGCCGCTGACGCGGACAAACTGACTTCTGACAGCATGGTTAGTGACGAACTTCCGATGGCCGACGTCCAAACGTCAATCTCGTTACCGGAAGTGATTTTTGAGAGCAAGGCTCCTTCCGGAAAAGCAGTGAAGATTGGTTTTGTGATTTACCAGAATGACAAATTTTTCCAACCGGTTTTGCCGGTTGATGAAGAAAGTGGACAAGAGAATTCTTCGCTTGTGAGTCGAGTTATTTCCAGTAGCGTAAAGGATATGACCATTGAAAACCTTACCAGACCTGTTGAACTGGTTTTTGAGCCTGCAGTTGAAATTGACGCGACCAACGGAGAGTTTCTATGTGTATTTTGGGATTTTGATGCCATGGGTAAGAAAGTTTACTTGCTTTCCTTTCTAACGTTTCAGCTTTTCATTTTTTTTTTCTTTATCCTTGACAAAGTTTATATGTGTCTTTGATCAGCACGGTGAAACCCAAAGATTTAAGCAATTTTATTCATAATGTTCTGTAAGTAGAAGGTTTCAACAGAAGTCATTGCTGGTTTTCATTTGAGCTCAAGCATGTAAACGAAGGGCGTAGCCGAGAGAGGTGGGTTGTAGGTTGCACTAACCCTCCCCTGTACATAGCCTGACTACTCCCCCACCCCACTTCTGAATGCGAGAAGAACGCGTGTGGAGAACCCCCGTCGAAAATATCTGCATACGCCAAGCTGAGATGAATTTTAAATGACAAAACTATCGTGAACTCAAAGTTCCTCTCCTTTTGGTTTATCAGCCTTTTACCTGGAACCCTTCACCTTGAATCTTTCACCCGTAGATTTCCGATGCCTAAGTGACAAGTGGTGGTTGATAAAAGTGAAAAACTCAAAAAATATTACATACATACGTACATACTTACTTTATTGACTTTCCCCAAAGGAGGCTTTTCAAAGACAATATTCAAGAGTGGCTTATATAATAAATTAACTATTTCCCTGCACCTGTCTTTCCAGGGGGACTGGGCAACTGGTCAGATCGAGGCTGTAGACAAGTGAAGATCGAGGCAGGCCGAGTTATGTGTCACTGTGATCACATGACGAACTTTGCAGTCCTCTTTTCTGCTGGTGGTCCTAAGAAGCACGCTGAGGAACACGCCATGGCTCTGTCAATCATTTCTTACGTGGGTTGTGCAATTTCATTGATCGGACTTACATTCACATTGATGACGTACGCGTTGTTCAGGTTTGTGCTGCAATCACATATTTGATTAGTTCCAATAACTCTCCGAGCGAGACTTGCGAGAGAAAATAGTAAACTCATCGCTCGCGTTAGAGTCCAGACTCTCTCGAGGAAGCTTGATAGATTCTACGGAATTTGCTGTTACTTTGATTTCCTCAAATAATTTTTTTACATTTTCGCAGCTAAGAAATAAAACGTCTTTAGTAGTATGATCGAAATTTAAATGCACATACTGGATTCTACCCTACTCTTCCACAGGAATTTACGTAAGACTAACCAACAGCCCATCTTGATGAGCTTGTGTGTGTCACTCATGCTGCTTCTGATCGTGTTTATCGCGGGCGCAGCGCAGACAGAGAATATGGTTGGTTGTCGTATTGTAGCAGTTTTTCTCCACTATTTCGCTCTGACGACCGTGATGTGGATGGGAGTAGAGGGCTATAACATGTACATGTCTTTTGTGCAAGTGATGGCCACATACCAATCCAAATTCATGCTTAAGGCGTCTGCGGTGGCCTGGGGAGTGCCAGCTATTGCAGTGATCGTCACAATCTCCGCTGCAACAAGTTACTATGGCAACAAAGATGTGTAAGTAATGGTGCTTTCACTCTCCGTAGCCTCAAGTTATTTATGCATCAATCGGGCATAACCCGACACCTATGAATTTTTTGCAATAATGCAAAGTCAGTGGCGGTAACATCGCACATTACAACTCGGCCGTAACAATTTTAAATTATCTTCGTCTTGAAATATCCTTTAGCTTATTTAAGCTTTGATTTAAAAGAACCAACTTCTTTTGTCTTAATCAGCATTTGGACCTCCTGTCAAAAGTTTTGGATCCGCCCTCAGATGATTTAGTTGCCTATGGATTAATAATTAATTGTTAAATAATTATATTAACCTGATTTCTCTTTTTTAATTTTTGCGCAGGTGTGTACTTTTTGGTGTTCCCTTCCAAGCTGCACAATTTGCTCCCATTCTTCTTGTAATCCTCATAAACTTCATTGTTTTCATCCTGGCTATTCGTGCGCTTAATCATTCTGGTGCTCTGATCTCTGCGGAGAAAAAATCCACGTCGCACCAAAGAGCGCGCACCTCCATCGCAATTTTACTTCTCTTGGGACTCACATGGGGCTTTGGAGCCCTGGCTGTTTCAAGTGCACAGTTGATCTTTGACTACCTGTTTTGCATATTCAACTCACTTCAAGGGTTTTTGATTTTCTACTTTCACTGTTTACGACACCAAGAGGTACGTAGTCAATGGAAGTGGTTCTTCCTCGGCAAAGGGTTGAATTTCCGGCCTACGGAGACCGATTCTCAAACAGGATACCCTAGGTCGAATGCCCAGGAAAGGTTTTTGGTTTATGAACCATCTTTGTTATTGCCAACGAATGGATCACCTAAGAAGGAGACAGTTACTTCTGTGGTTCGTGGATCTCCACAGTCGTTCAGTTCACCTCTCGATGTAATACCTGCTCAAGTTTGAGCTAATATACTTGGTCAGAGGAACTTAAATTAAACGATTTTCTGTTAACAAGGACAATTCGAAAGATCAACAATTTCCTTTTCTTCAGATTACCTTGCCAGAGGAAACTTAGCCTCTGATAGAGTAGGTCAGGCAAAGAAAACAAAAGCTGTTTCTCTGACAGCTATAACCACCGTTGGTCGTCCTCCCATTCTTCGGCTCACCCAGACTTAGAGCCATGGCACGGGCGAGGGCTACTTTTAGATAGGCGTACCTTATGCCCCAAAAGAACTGGGACTCTGTCGCGGGATGTCTTTGTGGGCCTATGTCCCAGCTGGGACGAAAAGGGCACATGTACAGATTAATTCTCACTTTTGCGAGGGGGTAAATTGGAAAAAGGTTAATTATTATTATTAATTAGTTCTTACTCGTTGCAAAAAGAACTCAAAATGAAAGTGTAGCCGCAACCTCGTTCCCAGGGTCTTTCATCTTGCCGCCCCTGGAGCGAGAGAAGAAAGCGAGAAGAAGAGAGATCCTGGAACGAGGTTGGTGTAGCCGCTATTTATAGTTCAGCCCTGTTCTTTTTCTTTATTCATTTGAGAGGAGTATGTATAGGGTGTTTTTTTTAATGTATACGAAGAGGCTTCTTGAATAGGGGTACACATGATAGATAATCAATGATCGATGCATAGACATTCTCTCAAAATGGGATGAACTGGCCTTAAGTATGCAATGCTAGAAACCTTATATCATTGTTGAATCACACTTCAATTTTTGTTTATATTAATTTATTATCCGATTTCCCTATATCCTAGAACTGTCACACGGACAATTTGTGTCAGGGACAATTCAGTATTTATCATAGGGGAGGGGAGAAGGGTGAGTTTGGAGGATTTAAGGGGGGTCGGATCACATGGTTTTTAGAAGGAACGGAGGGGTCTTCATTTGTCATGGTGCAATTAAACGTCCTTTAATTCTAAATCGTGTCCTTACATGTGGTACCGAAAAGTGATCGAAAAATTAAGATTTTAAAATTATTATAGGGAAGGTACTAAAAAGGACTGAATTCTAAATACTGTGTTCAAGGTTTCGGAAGTAATAACCTTCCAAAATTAGCAACAACATTTCGTTGTTCTTCAATGACCCAAAATGTTACGTTCCCTTCAAAAGTTACAAACCATTCCTCAGGAAAATCTTCCTTTCAGAAGCAACGGAAAAAATACGAGGAAATCCCACAATTTTACCCACATCCACTGAATACTGCACCTAACGCGAGTGTCTACATGACTGTGAAAATGCTCCTCATTGATTTTGAAAAAAACGAAAATCATTCCTTAAATAGATGTAACGAAAAGTGATCTTGATATTGAAACTTAATTTACCCAAACTGAAAGCCCAAATATCGAAAAGCTTTAGTTAAAGTCATCAAGTTCTGTTTTTATTTTCCAGCTATAGTCTATAGTCCTTGTCTCTTTTGAAAATCCCTTTTTCTCGTTACCAAGATACTTTGGGCCGTTCCTTTGGTCAAAACTATCGAGTAAGAACAGGGCCATCAAGATTTAAAGCAAATCTCAGGAGGCAGGATCTGGCTACATCAATCACTGATGGCAGCTGCATTAACTGTCACCTTTGTAATTCTTAATCAACGGGAGCTTAATTGTTATTTTATGATAATTGTCAAGTATCAATTAATTTTAGAAGTATAGGCAATTTAACTTATTGTAAAAATTTCATTTTAATCTATATATTTATACACCTGTTCTATATTTATACACTTGTACTAAGTATCTTAGTATCTTTAGATTTATGGGTAATTTTAAGTGTCCCCGATTAGCAGACCACTTGTGGTTAGTTAGAAGATTTGACACGATAAATTTACTGACTGACTGTTACTCCAAAGCTAATTCCATCGCCTGTAAGTCTTGAATTTCCATTATTTTCAGAATTTATTATATATTCTTTGAAATATACAGTTTTCATCTGAGCTCCTAAAGGTCTATCTCGATCGAAATGGAACGTACCCTGCTGGCAGAGGCGTTTAATTGTTAACTTCCCCTACGGTCCACGTAAAAATAAAGTCCTCTGCGCTCGGCCTGTTAAATCTTTTTCGAGCATGCGCCTGGGAATTATCCAAGTTTGTGGATAATCTGATTTGCAAAACCGGTCAGAACTTGCTTTAAACACGGTTTTATGCGCACGCATCCTATCTAGCTATATAGCAAGACTAAGTGTGAGCCCACAATCAGCCGAGTACTACCGGGAACTAATTTGTTTCTAAGCAACAGGCCGCGCATGCTCGAAGAAGATTTAACAGGCCGAGCGCAGAGGACTTCATTTTTACGTGGACCGTAGGGGAAGTTAACAAATAAACGCCTCTGCCAGGAGGGTAAATGGAACGAAATTATCCTGTAATGATTTGTTATGGATTTCAAATCTGCACGAACTCTCGAATTGGAAATAAAAGCTGAAGAGAGTCTAAGAAATGTCGGACATGGTACACATTGGCAGATGGCTTGACAGCTTTGGCTCAGCTCCGTCTTTCGAAAAGTAATTTTGGTCTTATCAATTGGGTTGATAATGTAAATTGGCCACCGTAAAGGGTTATAAAGCTGACGGGCTAACGCGCGAAACGTCAGCTTTGAAACTCTTTACAGTGGCCAATTTACTAGTAGGACTTTAAGCAAACCCCGACGCCTACGGCAACGAGAACATGGAAAAACGATAGATCTAATTGGCAGAACAATAGCCCAGCACATGGGTATTAAAACTTTGTACATTTCTTAGCCGTTCTTTGCAAAACAACAACGTGAAATCACCAAAATTTGCGTCGTCTGCGAAGCGAAACCGCGGCGGCAAATTATTTTAATTTACATTTGGAACTCCACGCTACTTTTATGCGTTATGTTAAGTTTGAGTTCTGGCGCCCTATGAGACGGGAAACACATGCAGCCATTTTCGAAATTCTAAATGAAAGTAGAAACTCATTTTTTAATCGACGTCTTCCGTGGCGTTGCCCTCCTGACAGCTTAAAGTCCCTTTCTTGTTGTACTTCCTCATCGACCCCGCACCACAGTATCTTTAGAAATTTACCCCCTCCCCCTTTATCCACGTTTTGTACTCTGAGAGAGCACGTTCTTTCAACCGTAGACTTGCTCACAGGTCGCGCTTTTGAGCCGGCGTAGCGCGACAGTGAGCGCGAATCGCGAGCGAGCCGAGCGTCGAGCCAAGGGGGTCCTACCACACCAGAACAGAAAACCAAGCGAAAGACTTTGAGAAAGTCTATTTCAACCGATAACAGCGCCCGTTATATCCGAACTTTATTAAAAAAATTTTTACATTTTCATATTTTAGATATAGCCATCTTTCGAGTAAGATTTTGCAGTCCCCAAAGAGATGTTTATGAATGTGGAATTTATGAAATCTCTTTCGCACTCTCACTGAGGAGTTCCCTACGAAATAATTTTCTTAGGGCCTGATTACATGAGCCGGGCTGGCCCTGTTAGCCGGGCTGATTTCTTTTGTTTTGGTGTTCGCCAAAGCGTGAAAACAAAAGAAATCAGCCCGGGCCAGCTCGGCTCATGTAATCAGGCCCTTAGACTAGGAGAAGTCCTTGACGTAATCCGTTACGCTGATTAAAAAAATTTGACGTCAGTTTAAGCTACTTCATCGGGAAAGACCGGGAGAGAGAGAGAGCGGTCGGAAAACAAATTTAGGGGGTGGAGTGAGCTTGCGATCCTCCACCCTCCATCTGGAAAGGTGCCTCAAACTGTCGACATACTCGTGAAGAATGCATTTTAGAATTTCTATTTTTCAGCATTTATTTTAGATTTAACTCACAGGTATTTTCGCAAAAGGAAGCGATCAGTTGTTCTACTATAAATGAAAATGAGAGAGAGAGAATCAAAGAAATAAAACAACGAATGTGTTGTCATTAAAATTGGCCAATTGCGACAGAGTTCGTTCGTCACGTGATAATTTTAAATCTTTGCCGGGAAGATCTGGACCCTTAGAACAGATTTGAACGAGTTCTCCTTCTCTGCTTTTTTTTTTAACTTGCTCAAGCATTTGCAAATTCTCCTTTGAAAAACTAAACAAAATGGCCTATTAACATATGTATTCCACATGGCAACCTCAAAGCGTGAAGGTAAGTTTTTACGAGCTTTCTGAGCTTGTGTTTTTATCCCGGTATTGACCTTTGTGTGGACGAAGTAAAGGATCGTTTGTTTGTGGAAGCTTTTCACAAAATTTATTTTTTAAGAACTAGAAACCCTGTCGTAATGTTACTAAGTTGTCTTTATCATTTACTAAAAAGTTGTTGGCTCCTTCGTCCCAGAAGCTCAGTCATGGTCTGAAAGCGTTTTTCATGAGCGTAAGATTACGTTTAACTGTCTTTGGCAACTTCTAAAACTGTACTTCCATTTCGACAAACTGTTTGAATGTCGTATTCTACCCTTGTAGCGTTTCCCTGTACTATTGGCGGTGTGTCTAGTCTGATTGAAGACGAGCAGTTCGATTTCGACGTGCCACTTTCGCCAATTGATTTTGATGTTCGGTAAGTTACACTGTACGTACATGTATACATGTGATTATCAACGTTGACTAGATCGGAAAATTATAGCAGTTGTTCCCACAATTTCAGTTGAATTATAGCTGCTCACATGTCATACTTTTAGCAAGGAATGTAAACTGTGTTGAATTATTTTTATGTTTATCGACACACAAATGTGCGTTGGGTCTTAGACACAGTTTTGAAGTCTCTATCTTAAGGGGAGGTCAAATTCCCAACTGGTTTTACTCTTCAATAAAGCTTTAATATAATTGCAACTCCTAATGAAAGGGGCAAGGATACTTGTCGGTTTCAAGGCTGTGGTCTAGCTGTGCCCGGTGGCCCCTGGCGCCTTACTTTTGCTCTTGGGTGACTCAAGAATTTTAGTTTTTTCATACAAAGTACATGCTGGGCACCCTGGATTTCGCAGTTTTAAAGCACGGGCTCCATTCAATTTTCCTTAGAGCACAGCCTTTGTTTTGCTTCAGGGGATAAATTAAAGATTTTGGTCCCACCTAGGGTGTTTTGCATAAAACGACATTACAGCTACGAAGATCTTGATTTTTTTAAAATGACATCAATGTCTATTAAATAAAAATTACAGCAAAATGTCTCTATTTCAAAATGGTCTCTTAGAGGGGTTAAATAAAGCTTGGCTTGTGCCAAGGAGTGTCTTCTTGAGAGGCAAAACTTAAAAATTTCTGACGAGCATTCCCTTGAACTGTAAAGAAGTCTACTTTCCCAAGACTAGCCAGCAACCTGGCATTGCCCCTCAATGTAGGAGCCCTCCCACTCAAAATTCTGCCTTCACCCAAGAATTACCTGGAAATGCTTTTACCAGTACTTGCTATTAAAGAATAGGTAATTAATTTTTCTTTTTTGCTTTATCAGAGAGCATAATGCTGATTTAGAAGATGAAGATGAAGTTTTCTTTGGTCCTGTGGGTCACAGAGAAAGATGTGTTACTGTTAACAGTGAACTTCAAGATGATGACAAATTTAAACCCTTAAGTCCCCTTAATGGTGAACAAATTGCTGAACTGTATAAAGAAGCAACTGCAGTGTCAATATTTATCAAAAACTCTTCCTTCACTCAGAATAATGATAATGTTACAGATGGAAAGGAAAATCGTGATATCTGTGAGCTTTTATCACAAACATTTACAGTTGAAGATGATCATAAAAACATGACTGCAAAAGGAGATCTAGAAGATAACAAAAGAACTACAAAATCTGCATCTTCCCCTGAGTCAGCCAACAGTATTTCACCACAGTCAACAGAATGTTCAGATGACATGAACATTCCTTTTACACCAAGACGAATCTTGCAAGAAAGCAACTCTCAGAGTGGAGCGTTTCAGTCACCATTCAAAAGACGAAAAGCGCGTCCTTTGCAGAATAGTCGCAAGTTTGCTCAATCCAAGCTTCCCACAACACAAATGACACTAAAGACCAGGAGTTGTTTTAATTCTGTGAGTATGATTGTGTTGCTCTTTCACCATTGTTTCATTAACCTTTGAACTCCAAAGATCTGATTTTTAATTCTCCCCTCTGGCTGCTGTACATTTCCATGTAAATTAGTTATGAGAATTTGGTAAATTAGATTAAGATAACAACTTCTACCCAATAAATTTGAGTATTCTCACTACAAGTTTGTGGGACAATGTATAGATATTATTGAGAGAAGTTACATCTTGATCACTTCTGGGAGTTCAAGGGCTCAATGTAAAGTAAACTGTACTCAAACCAATAGGCCCGGTCGTATAATTTCAAGGCAGTGGTCTAGCAGTGCCTGGTGACCCCTGGCGCCTTACTTTTGCTCTTGGGCGACTCAGGAATCTTAGTCTTTTCACATAACACATATGCTGGGCATCCTGGGTTTCACAGTTTCAGAGCACTGGGCTCCCTTCAATTTTTTTTTAGAGCCCAGCCATGAATTTAACTTAAAATTGGTAGCCCAATGACTGCAATTGCACTGGAAGCTTATGTTTTTCTCCCACATTTTAAGACTACTATCTCATTCTATTGCTTTTATTCCTATTTTGAAGTCTTTGAAAACAATTTTCCAGCTCTAGTAGATCTTGATGAATCTTACACAACCCAGCCCATCGTCTATTGGGATGGAAACCTCAACAAATTCAATTTAAAAGTGGATCAAATTTTTTATTTCCTTACAAATGTAGTTTTGGCTTCTGGCAATTCTTTTTATTGAACTACGATTATTTTTGTGATTCAGTAGAACTGGTCGACTTTTATGAACATTTTTTGTTCTGTTTTTTAGTCTTTTCTTCAAGCTTTCCAGTACAATCCATTCTTATTTTTAAATTTAGGGTGGCAGTTAGAACAAAGTACAGACTATTATTCAACTAATTTGCCATATTAAATCATTTTATTACAGCCTATAAAAGTAGAACATCTATATGGTCTGAGACAGACAACTGGTGGTTCAGAAAAAGAAAAGGTAACTACATGTAAACACAATAAAACCTCAAATGAATTTACTTTATCAGTAACTAAGAGTACTCAGTACTGCTGGATTTTTTTAATTGATTGATAAAGAAACAACAGCTGTCACTATTAATAATAATAACAAAGGCCTGCTTCAAGGCTATAGATATCGGAGATTAAATTCTTTTTTCTGCCATGGCTGCTTGACTATGAAAATTGTTCATCTAGACTTGAAGTATATTTTCATGTTTACTCATCAAAAATCTCTTGTTACTACATCACCCATATGTTTGTTGAGCTGGGATTAATTTGTCTTCCAATTCACAGATTCCACGTGTTTCACAAAGTGGAATAAAACCTCCAGGATTTGGTTGTAAGCCCAGACGACGCCGTACAAGTTCGTCTTCATCTGTGTCTTCTACATCCAGTGCTGTATCAGTTCAGTCAACTGATATGAATGAGACTTTTGTCATCTCCAAAGGTTCCTCTTCTGACATTTCATCTATTCCAACTCCCTGTGCACGCAAAGTTCCAGCTACTAAGGCCTGCTTGAAGCCTGTAAATGGAACTGGTGCATTGACCAAGCCCGCCTTTGCCAGGCCTAAAGGACGACCTCAGCCTGTGAAAGCACTTCCACTGCCTGTTACTCACAGCAAGAAAGCCCCACCAACACCTACTGATCCTCTAAAATCAAAGGGGGTGCCTGGCAATACCCCTGTACATCGCCAAAGTGGAATGTGCTCCGAGCAAATGGTCACCAGGTCACAGACACCCAATAACATACAGAGGTCCAAGTCATTTAATACACCTGTAAGGCAAAGTGGGAGCAACACTCCAACTGGCCAGGCTGTTAGACGATGGGCACAAACACCCACCAGAGGGAAAAGCCCTGCAGTGTCTTTAACTCCAAGGAGAAGAGGAAGTGTCACACCCAGGGCTAGTGCCTCAAATGTTCAAACCTCTTTGCAAAGGCACAACAGCGGCACAATGGCAGCCATATCCTCAAAGACTCAGGACAAGAATTCCCCCCCACCATCCACCCCTGAAAATGCAATTTATGCATCCAATGATAAGGTTACTCCACCAAATCCAGGTACAGATCGTTATTATTGCTTCTTATTACACTGCCCTTCCTTGCTGAGTAAAATTCAATACATGATTGGCATACATGTTACTTGGGTTGAAGGAAGGCAAGTTCTTGTTAACACAGGGATTTGTTAATCAGATCAGAGAATTTTGTTGCTGTTATGAAGCATTATCTGGCTAAATTTCAGTTGGCTTAGCTCCCTAAATTAAAGAGTGGGGGTTTTATCTACTATTTATTCTCCTGTCACAGTTTCTTTCTCATTACTTCAAGTCCATTTTTTATATATATTTTTTTTTTTGGCAGTTCCCAGCAATACCATAAAAAGAAAGTCACTGAGTGCAAACAACCAGAAGAGACGCTCTCATCTGCCAACTCCTGTGAAAAGCAGGATCACTAGATCCCAGTCACAGAAGTGTAGATCAATAAGCATTAACGATGTGCCTCCTGATCCCCTTACCTTTGGCCTCTCCCCCTCAGCTGAAGTCAAACCAAGGAGTTTTGCCTCTCAACCAGACCCAAATGTGCAACTATCACATTCCCACACAAGAATATCTGATCCGTTTTCTCCAGCATCCCAGTTAGTTACTACTGATCCCATAAGTGATTACACTAATGATGATTCAGTTGCTAGAAATTTGATTGAATGGTCACCTGCTGTGTCCAGAGAAGTAAGTGAGATTAGTGCTACCTTACTACTATAGCCTCACAGGCAAAGAAAAAAAAAAGATCTGCATGTTTCTTTGTACCAGAGATTAGATCATGATCATAATAAGAATGATGATGATGATAATGATAGTCTACAGTACAGCTCAAAAGTAAGTTCTCCAAAACTGTCAATTATCCTAACAGTAATGATGATGCACCTGCTGAATTTAAGAAAACTTCATAAAACATTCATAAATCCCACAGGTATCAACGAACGCTTTTCATTGTACTAATATATTTGTGTTTTTCTCGTTGCCATGTTCCCACCAATCACGTAGCTCCTTTTTCTGCCTTTAATAGCACACCCAACCCACAATTCCTTTATTCGCTCCGATGAAGGGCTAACGCTCGAAACGTCAGCTTTTGTAATCGTTACGGTGGCCAATTTACCATTTCAACTTTGTTGATATATCCAAATTATTTCATAAAACATTGCTTCATTCTTATTAAGATATTTATTAGTTCTCCTTATATTCTTACCAGTAATCAACAGCTTACATGCACATGTTCATTTCTCTTATTCTTTTGCAGGGAAATCTTATTGACATATGAAGATGTCATACAACGTGGGAGTATGGCTGGCATTTAAAGCCCAGAATCAAGAGGAAGACCAGATTTTCAAATAAAACAATCAGAGCACAATGAAAATTCTTTAGAAATTAAAAGTAAAGAAATTAACACCTGTGAAATTTTTTTCACAGGTTATCCAGGGAAGTCACCTTACTGATTGTCAAACACAATGAATGTAACTTGTACATGAGTGTTTCTTGGCAAACAGTATGTATTACATATAGTTTGTTTTGTTGGAGTTACTAACTAGATTTTGTCTTGACATTATTTCTTAACCATATGGAAATACCATTGAATTTGCCTCGCGTTGAGATTATAATAATTAAGTGTACATTCTTAACACGGTACATGATTCAAAACTTTAATTATGAAAAGTTAGCAACTGCTGTAATGAGCACACTATAAATTTACACTCCACTACTTCTGTGACATAGAAAGCTTTTAAATCTTTTGTAATTTTGGAGATAAACTCTTAAACTCCCAGTCCTGATCTTTACTTCTCCCCTTTTGCTGCTACACATTTCCTTGCTAATAATACACCAAAAAATTATGCATGTCTGATTGACTGAAAATGAGTGCATTTTTCATGTAACACGAGTGCAAATTTGTAACATAAAGGCAAATTACATAGTGCCAGCACAGCCAAAATTTCATCTGTCTAGACATCTGTGATGCCTTACTCATGTCAATTAATACCATAATTTCCAGCCATTTACCCACAGGTAATCTGTGACAACATGATTTTCTCTAATTTTGCCTGCAAATGTTTCAAAGACTTCAAATTGCACTCACCCTAGAGGCTCATGCAATTTTGTTGGCTGAAAAATTGTTTACTTGTGCTTATCAACACCAAATTGCACTTAAAATCATGTTATGACCTTTACAAATTAGTTACAAGAATTTGGTGTTATAAGGTAACAATTTCTAACTGATAAGTTTGAGTATTCTCATTACCTATTTACTAGACAATGTATGGATATTCTGAGGAGAAGTTGTGTAATTATCACTTCTGGGAGCCAAAGGGTTAACAAATGAGCCAACTAGCACAGTTTTGAATTTCCAAGCCTGCATGTTTACAGAGGTACAAATAATAATCTTCATTTTAATTTGATTGCTTGACTACCACATAAACCTTTGAACTGCCTTAGGACTGTGAGCCCAATGGAATGGTTTTTCTAAGAACAAATAGAAAGTAATTGCATTCACAGCTGCATATAAAGTGCATTCTAATGCAAGTCTTGTATAAGACCCTAGTGGACTGTGAAGCCGATAGAAAATATATGGGATAATAAAGTATCGAAACTCCAACAGTTTTTGTGGGACAGTAACTATGGAAACACAAACGTAGAACATAGCTAGCCATGTCCTTGGTTGTGTTAGAGATAGCTGTCGGTGGATGCAGTATGCTGAAAATATATACAAAGGTACAAGGGCATATTTCACTAACCAATGCCTTGCATACACTTTACGCCAAATGTAGAATGGGTAGTGCCGATTGTCAGCTAGGAGGTACTCATGCACATATGTAAATTTGTAAATGATTAAAATCATGGATAAAGCAGCTAAAAGCAACCCTATGATATACAATGGTTTTTTAACAGTGTTTTGAAAGGTTTTCAAATAGTTTGCAACGTCTTGAGGCAAAAGTAGCTGTGAGCTGCTGAAGGCAAGGGTAAAAGTCAGTAAGTAAAACAACTGTGGGAAATTTAAGCGCGCCTGATGTTGACTCTTGTCGCCAACTACAATTCCACCATTTATGACCACAAAAAAAGCAAAACATGCTACAACTATACCATACGCCCAGAGACATTTGAAAACCTTGAAGAAGTTGTTGTAAAATGATGTGATATATTCCTTTAGTTCTGTGACAAAGGTTGAGGAAGCTGTTTCTTTCCCAGCTGGTTGTAAAGTTTCTATTGTGGTTACTCCAGCTGTGAACACAACCCATATGACATTAGTTTGACGGACGACAATTGATGCTGCACCAATAAAGGCTGCAATGAAATGGTTTCCACGAAGGCTGAGGTAATATAAGAGAAGAACAAAGAAGGTTGAACTTGAATCCGTGTAGTAGAGGAATGTAAAGAAATACAGCAAAGGAAATAAGGCCAAGACCAAAGCTGTCACAGAACATTTCGTGGGTGAAGTTTTCTCCTCTGCCGTGGGTTTATCTCCCTGTTCAGAGGGGGAAAAAATGGAATGAAATATCACCAATTGTTATGCAGTAACAACAATTTGTTGGTCGAGTGTCATTTACTGAATGCAGGTAACATCTTCCTTCACTTAAATCACCAGGCTCAAAATTAACTATCTTCATTTACATCATCACTGTTTATAAGCACCTCATATCAACATTCCTATCCTTGAAGTATGTTGAAGAATTGTCACCATGGACCCAGTTGAATGACCTAGCTTGCCACGAGTCTCCCATGGCACAGTAATTGAGCTTCTGAAGTACTAGAGTGGAATCCCGATTTCTCGAACCTCCAGGGGAAACACAAATTGGTTCAAGAAATTGGGGGTGAAATTGCAAGTGAAGCAAACCAAGGGGAAACAAGTTCAATATATAAACAAAGTTGAAATGATAAATTGGCCACCGTTAAGATTATAAAAGCTGACGTTTCGAGCGTTAGCCCTTTGTTGGAGCGAATAGAGGAATTGTGGGTTGTGTGTGCTTTTAAAGGCAGAAAATGGAGCTATGTGATTGGTGGGAACATGGCAACGAGAAAAACATGAATAAATTAGTGAAATGACAAGCCTTCGTTGATACCTGTGGGATTTAGACTGCCGGTTTGAAAGATGAGCTTTTGTTCAAGAGTTTTATGGCTTTCCGTGCTACCTAACTGTAAGGAAAGACCGCAGATTGCCATATGTTGCTTAGAATGATTAGGTAAATTAAAATGTCTAGCAACTGGTTTTGATGTGTCCTTGTCATTCCTCTCCACATCGCAAAGGTGTTCTCAGAATCGGTCACCTAGTCTTCTGCCTGTTTCACCAATGTAAATCTTTTTGCAATGAGTGTAAGTTATGCATTAGATTACATTGGTGGAGGTGCACGTGAAGTGATCGGTGATCTTAAAATGGATCGTTTGGAATGAAAGGACACATTTTGCATCGTGCACGAGCACATTTAAAAGTGCCTGATGGTCATTAGTCTGAAAAGAACTTCTGACAAAAAAAATTGCCTATGTTTTTGTCGCGTTTGAATGAAATGAGTAGAGGCTGCGAAAAGATAGTGCTTGTCTCTGGATTATTTTGAAGTAATTTAAAGTTTTAAGAATGATGGATTTAACTGAGTGGTTGTGAGGGTGAAACATGAGAGTAGCTCCATTTTCTGCCTTTAAAAGCACACACAACCCAGAATTCCTCTATTCGTTCCAATGAAGGGCTAATGCTCGAAATGTCAGCTTTTATAATCTTAACGGTTGCCAGTTTATATATTGAAATTGTTTCGTTACCCCCACCGACGCAGTCCCAAACAGTTTCTTTAGAAACTATCAGCCTTTATTCAAGGGAAACAAGGTTTGGTTCGAGATATTGGGAGGTTCGAGAAACCGAGGGTGCGAGAAATCGGGATTCCACTGTAGTTGAAAGTCTGTAGGTTTTGCTTCCTTCTGAGAGCACTCTAAGTTTTTTTTTTTCTGATTATGCCTGCAGCATTTGCAGAATAGCATCTTCCTTCGACAATTACCTTCAGTTGATGACCAACCTATGTATTCACCATTTAATTATATCAACTAAAATAACGCTTTCTAGACTTCCAAACCATACAGAATGCTTGATGCAGCTATGAACTAGTAATGGCAGCAATCTCACCAGACTTCTCTGTAGCTCATGGGTTTAGCCCTGTACACCCTAACATTAGTATGCATATTCTCCATACTGTTCCCTATACATTTCCCAAGGTGCTGACAAGGAGAATTGCTTAGTAATCAAGAGCTTCTTTAGCTGGTGATTTTTTTCCTGTTCCCGTGACCTTAATATTTGATTAAGAGGTGATATTGCAAAGATAAATTAGATGATAATCTCCTTTAGGGGTAAAAGGTGAGGGGACCCGAAATTTGAAGGTCTGGCATTCGATACCTAGCGAGTGACTCAGACCCTTGCCACCCATTCTATAACTTTTTGATACCGTATGACTCGATTGCGTATGGAAATCTGAGCACATCACACCATTCATAAAATTCCAATACACGTCTTTTAAAACCGTACCTTGCGTGACTGTCGGGTTTTGTCGCAGTGAAGACGAAACAGGATCTGCCTCAGAAGCCACACATTACCCATCAGAAACAAAGTGTTCACCATCCGTAGAAAAAACGTCGAACACACAACACGTAGTTCGTGTCCGACGAGAAACGCCAAAGCTCGCAAACACGCGAAGGAAATTAAATACAATCCTGGCAATGTTGTTATCTTTGGATCCCACTCATCGAACTTGTAATCGCAGTATTTCTGAACTTGGGGGACATGGAAGATCTCATCCATATACGGTTGTGACTGTTTTGTGTTGAATTGAAGGAAAATGCCCATAGAAACTGCAAATAAACTGGAGTACCATGCGTAGAACGAAAAGGCCGCCATTTTGATTGAAAGTTTAACACCTAAGTATTGTGGGACTAGACAAAATTGCCCCAGGGCCCTGGAGTGGGCAAGAGTTCGTTCCTCAACTCCTTGATCCCATTCCAGCACAATTAAACTACTTACCACTAAGGCTGAGGAATAATAGAAGGCCGAAAAATAATAGACGGCCAAAAAATGATGCGCCGAGAAAATGTGATCAGCTATGCTATAACGGCTGATAGTTTCTAAAGAAACTGTTTGGGGCTGCGTCGGTGGGGGTAACGAAATAATTTGAATATATCAACAAAGTTGAAATGGTAAATTGGCCACCGTTACGATTATAAAAGCTGACGTTTCGAGCGTTAGCCCTTCGTCCGAGCGAATAGGGAAATTGTGGGTTGTGTGTGCTTTTAAAGGCAGAAAAAGGAGCTACGTGATTCGTGGGAACATGGCAACGTGAAAAACACGAATAAATTAGTGGAATGAAAAGCGTTCGTTGATACCTGTGGGATTTAGACTGCCATAGCTACTATAGCTTAGTCTTTTTTAATTCATAATTTCCACAACCTTGAAAGCCAAGTTTGACCATGAGTATGCACGTAATCATCAAACAGAGCCCTTCATTTGTGCTGCAAAGTTAGGTTTAAAAGCAAGTAACGAAAATGCCGTAATAACCCTTTGCACCCAGACATCCGTGTGCATATTCTCCACGCTGTTCTCTGTCCGTTTTCTATGATGATGATGACGAGGATAATATGTTAAATAATCAAGGAATTCTTAAGCAGGTGATCATTTCCTTTCATTTTATCTCATGAGCATGATGTTTGATTAAGTGGCGAGACTGTCAGGAGAATTTAGATGATAGCAAGTCTTAGAGGGGGTTACTAAGCTATGATCAACGACAGGGTTCAAATGATTAACACCGAGGGTCTGGAATCAGCCTTTCTATCCACCTAGCCTTCTTGAAAACTCCGACATTTTTTTTGCAATTCTGTGTTTTTCTCAGGCTAGGTTGTCACTAGAAGCTTTAAAACTGCCAACAATTTCTTAGCTATTCTGTGTTTCTCTACGTCAATAACAAGCTTAAAGTACAGCACCCAGGTACAGAAATCTATTCAGAGGTAATATGAAAACAGCTTTCAGAGTAGTTATTCTTGAAAAGTACACATTACGATCACAGGTAAAACCATCAATCACCGATTGAAAATTAACGTCGGGAGCAGTCATTATTTACATCATCTATCGCCGGGGGGGGAAGGGGTCAGAGGATTCTGGGGGGATTACAAGATATTCGGGGAGAACAGAGGGTAGGGGATCAGTCGTCCCTAACAGAATGTAAAAGGAGACTAAAGAAAAAAATGACTACCAGGTAGGGATCATCAGAATAGTACAGAACCTGACAAAGGGATCAGGTTAATAATTTGCGACACGCCTAAAATTCTTTACCCCGTTCTAGGTCATAAATAATGACTACCCTATATTTTATAAACGTTTTAAGCTGTTAAATCAAAACGCGTGTCATATTTCAGGAAATGGGTAAGTTTTATCAGTACGTAAGCTCAATTTATTTCGAAGGATGTGTTTTCGCACGCTCATTAGTGAATATCATGAAACAAGGTGCTTTAAGCCTGTTAAAACCTTTAGACACGAATACTTGAGCCCGTTACAGTGTGTTCACCGTAAACGCTTGGCAGACATATCTTATAGGCATGCAAAGTGTGCGTCCGTGCGTGCGTGCTAAAGCGATCGAAATAATCAACTAAAAAACTAAAGTGGTTGCCCCGTGGCTCCTTGATTGCGTGAGTTTCGCCCTCTCGCACCGTCAGCTAATGAAATTAAATGAACTGCAGATCATTTTCGTCAATAAGCAGTGTTCTAAGCCAATCACACGCTGGCGTGTTTCATAGCGAATTTAATTAGCTCCGGCTAAGTAACGAGGGTCATTTACTCATCTGGACAAGGTGCTTGTTGGATATCAGGTTTTTGCTACTTAACGACTGAGTTTTCCTTGCACTCTACATAGATCACAAGACACAGGTAAATGACATATTTTATAGTTTTATTTGAAATGTGAAACACCCTTCAAGTGTGCTTAAGATTTGTCCAGAATTCCAGCGTGCTAAAGTTGTTAAGTTCGCATCTGTTTACGTTGTCAATTACGGCCTTGATTTGGTGGCCAATTTCTGATCTCTTGTTAACACACCCAGGGTGCTTTATGCGGCTTAAATAAAACAGCTTGCAGTAGAAAAAGCTTTTCAACATCGAACACAAAGATAGCCAAGCTTCAAATCACTTGGCTTTGTTTAAAGTAAAGAACATTTTCATTATGACAAGGGTGTAGGACAAAAGCGAGTTGACTAACCTTGTTTCACAATTGAGTGATCGTGAAAGCATTATGTTGGCGATCCACGCGGCTGCTTCAACACGTGTGTAATTTTAGATCTTACAGGCAAGAAAATTAGGTAGCTTATGCGTATCGCTCTGGTTTGCTTTAAGAGCGACTTTGTTGCATGCTTTTGTTTTCAATTCTCTCGAGGGGTAACGAACGGAAATGACATCTTTATGAAGTATTAACGTACCACCTTTAGTCCACTTTAGTCTCCTTTAGTCCTCCTTTAAAAAACTAAAGTCGCCAGTTATCTCCTACAAAGAACACTTGGCCGCCATATCCGTGACGAAAAAGCTTAGTAATCTCGGGGTTTAATTAAATTATTACGTTTTATAGCTCCTACAACCAAACTGTAGGCTGAAAAATCCAAAATCCACCAAGCGGTTTTGTTTACTTCATGTCAGCACTAGTTTAAGTGTTTACTTCAGGGTCAAAAAAGCTGCGTTCTTAAAATGCATTGAAAAAAATCCATCAACAGGAAAAGTTATCGTCAAAAGCATTAAAATTCCCAGTTACACTTATATTGCGGTTTAAATGGGAATTAAAGAGGTTTTTCCTTGTGAAACGCTACTCTCTCATGATGAAAGAGTTACTCAGTAGCATATTTGCGTTAGGGTTAAGTGGAACCGTATCCCTTTTCTTGAAACCTGTGGAAATAATTTAGCTTTCCCATATCTGAACCGAGATTAGTCCGGTAGCCAAGCATTGTATCTGAATGGTTCTTACTCCCAACGTCACGTGGATTGGGAATCAAGGCATCTCAGTCATTTTCAAAGGGCACAGACAAACGTCGCTGACCATTCCATTGTAAAACCACAAGTGCTTCAGGCACTTGGAGAAGAATCGTTAAATTTAAGTACTTTTAGATCAAATGATTACAGACAAAAACCATTGAAATGCGATTTGTTGCAAAGTTCAAAGCGCGATAAGAAGTTTCGAGTCGTTTTCAACAGCTCGAGAACGGTTTTATTTGGAGAACTCGAAAAAAAAAAAACTTCGGTATTAAAGGAACGTAGACATGGCTTTTGTTGTGTAATATATGGATAAGAACACTTGCTAAACTCCATGGGGTGCTAGTTTCTTTTATTTAAACTGAATATTATTTTTCCAATTGTTGGCATTCAAATCATACTTGACGATGTCGTTGAAATGGGTTCAGTTAAATATAAACATTTGCGGCCAGGGCAAAGGTTATGGACTCTTATTTCAGTCTGTAATTAGAAAGGAGACCGACTTTTCACAGAGTGAATTCTATCATAACCATCAGCATTTCTAAACAAAGCTATCTGGGGATGTCATTGCGCTTTTTGTTTTATCTGAGGTCATTTTGAATCAGTTATCACTTTTAATCAACGTTAAGAAAGTTGACAAAGAATAGTTTGTTTGAATTTCAAGTAATTTGTTTTGAACGTCAATTATTATCCTTTGATTTTGTTTTTTTTTTTTTTCAGCGTTCAGTAATAGTTTAAGGTGCCAGCTTTTCTCGCTTGTCTAGTCAGTATGCTCTGTTTAGCTGCCAAAACACCCAAACAATGTGCAAAAATCGCTCAAAAATCCTAATCTACTTTTCAGAAGAATTATGGATCGCGATGAAGCGAGCGTGACGGCGTCACGTCGTTCCGATTACGTTGTGTGATCGTTTGAAGAACATTTCGATATTGCTTAAGATTGTACAGATTTCTACTGATAAAGTAGTTTTTCAACAACTTGGGCGCAAGAATGAAGATCGAAAGCTCAATTCTTACAATCATTATAGAAAAACAAAAGAAAATCGACTGCGGCATTCACTGTTTCTAGTAAACGTTAGGGACTTTAGCAATTAGGAGGGCAACACCAAAGTAGTCGTCAAATAAAAAGGAAGCTACAATTCGCGTTTGGCTGGATGTAATTTTGGCTTCTTACAGAGGTGCTCCGCCACTTCAGTATAACGTATGTGAGCAGCTTCCAAATGGAAAAACTTGAATAATTTGCCGTCGGGGTTTCCTTTCTCAGACCTCGCAAATGTTGGTGATTACAGGTTATTGTTTTGGAGAGGACGATTAAAAAATGTACAAAGTTTGAAAACGCACGCGCTGAGTTTTTTTTCTGTCCATTAGATCTTTTGTTTTGTCACTTCTTCCGCGTCGCGGTCGCCGTCTTTGTTTGCTCAAGGTCCCTGTAATGATAACCAAGGCCTCCCAAAAATTTCTGGAGAAGTGTTCTCTAGCTGTGTGAAATTCGCATAAATTCCGTGAAATATGACTGCGTCGTCAAATCGCCGTCAGTTCGTCGGTGGGCGTGGTTAGCCTTTCACCACGTAGTCTTACCCATCATATCACGTATCACCTGTTTGGACTTTCAGATCATCTCCCGACCTGTTTCTTGGTACTTCATGGAATGTGCCATCGAGGTCGAGTTAGCAACATTTGCTTCAGGTTACAAACACTCAATGTAAATGATTGAAAATCTGTGTGTTGTGTACTTCTATTGAACCACAAACCCTTTATCTGTGAAAAAGTTGTTACACAATCGTTCGATAACTGAGGGGCATAGCCGACATTTTTCAAAGATTGGGGGAACAGCAGGTTACAGCGTGTCCGGCAACCAGACGCTAGACCAACCACCCGAATGTCATGTAGACATCCTTTGTGTGTCTTATAGATACTGGAATTTTTCAAGCCGAGAAAATACTTCGGATTCGCACATTTTTTCCCTCTGGAATTGTAAGGTTCGAGTGTTTTTGAATTTTTGAGAATTAAACAAGGGGTAGGAGGAGGGGTCACGGGCACCCAACGGGGCCTCCCTCTAACTCACCCCACCCCCACCCCACCCCCACTCCAATAATTCCTCTTTTCTGCTTCAGACCTCGCGATAATATGCATACTGTTTTTGCTTCAACAAGACAGCTCCGAACGGTGAATCACCCGGATCCAAAATCATGGATTTGATCAATTATTTGTCGGCAGAGGAATGGCAAACTGCAGAAGGAGGGAATTTAGAAGGTACTTGAACAGAAATTAGAATTTACATTGATTCAAATGGATCTGATACACACAGCGCAACATTGAGTGTTACCATACAACTGTAAAAGTCTACTCGTGTAAAGGAATCCTAATACTTCATCCCCTTTCACAACTGAATGATGAAGGACAAAATAAAAAAAAAAAAACCGATCTAGAGTTGCATAAATTGGAAAGGTGCGTGTAGTCTCTACCCCTCAATATTTTTTCGTTGGGCGTGTGTTTGACGCGCATGCGCTCCCCTTGCACCGCGAGTTTCTGTCATCTCAACCGCCTCTTTCATTTCAACCGCCTCCCGGTTAGCTCAATGGATAGAGCGCTGGACTGTAGTGCGGGAGGTCGAGGGTTCGAGCCCCGGCCG